CACACACACACACACACAGCCTAATAAAGACATTACACTTAACACAGTCTTTTAAATCTGTTACACACACTCACACAGTCTAATTTAGGTGTTACACACACATGCCCACACAAACACAGTCTAATAAAGATGTTACACACACGCGCGCGCGAGCGCGCACACACACACACACACACACACACACACACACACACACACACACACACACACACACACACACACACACACACACACACACACACAGTCTAATTGAGGTATAACACACATATCACATATACACACACACACACACACACACACAGTCTAATTGAGATGTAACACACACACACACACACACACACATTTACACAGTCTAATTGAGGTGTAACACACATGCGTACACACACACACACACACAAACAGAGTCTAATAAACACATGCACACATGGTCTAATAAAACAGTTACACACACATGTGCGCGCACACATACATAGTCTAATAAAAACATTACACACAAGCACACACACCATGTAATAAAGGTGTTTTACATTGGCATGCAACGCACACACTCCATCTAATAAAGACATTATGCACACACACACACACACACACACACACAGACACACAGACACAGACACACACACACACAGACACACAGACACACACACACACACACACACACACACACACACACACACACACACACACACACACACACACACACACACACACACACACACACACACACTAAACCCAGCATTCAGGCATGTCCAGAAACACTACAAGGCTTTGATTTGCTGTTACTTAAATCAACATAAAACATCTATGAGCGTTTATGTTTACCACAGTGACCAATTTCACTGTAAAACTTCACAGACTAACAGTTCTACCTTCAGAATTGCACCAAAAACCTGAAAAACCAAGTATCAAATTTGATTTAATTAACAGTTTGTTGACTTGAATAGATTGAAACTGAACACACAGCCAGTTCATGATCAAATACAGTAGATGAACATACAGTATGGCGCTCCTATTGGTAACAGAACAGCTACACATTTGCATAAAGCTGAACTCCTGCATCGCCAAAAGCTACAGTATCGGTCATTCACATCAGCAACTTTCCCAAACAATGAACATCCTTCAGTGGCTCTGCAGCTATAAATCACCACTGGACATCCGCAAACCAAATCACCGACATCTGATTACCAGACAGCGACAGCAGTAGGCAAGCTGATTAGGTTATGAATGAAAAATAGAGGAACTGACACAATACACTCCATTCACAACACCAACAGACACAAAGCAGATTCAATAGGCAAAGATAAGTTGACTTACCTAATAGACGAGTGGAAGCCGATGCAGACGGGCAACATGGAGACAAAAAAAAGAAAAGAGTATCACTTACAGCTGAGTTTGAACTGTGTGTACATTCATAATGGGGTTGTATAGTCACACTAAAGTTGGGGGAAGAGATACGGCCGGACAAATAAGGAGCGAACGTCATGATTTTTCCAGGTAAATATATTTCTAAAGGAGCTGTTGACATTAATACCTAAACCTCCCAATTAAAATACAATATATTCAGACAATTAGATATATCTAACAGCAATAGATGACTTCAGGAGAAAGTACTGAGCTACTGAAATGTGTTTAATGCACTGTTTTAAATGTGCAGCATGTTGTATTGACAACTAGTGGTCAAACTAGGCATTGCAGTGTTTTTTTTTTTTTGCTGTTGTTGGCCTATGACGGGTGTCCAAACGTCTTTGAGGGCCGGTGTCCTAAATATTTTGGCTCCAACCCTAATCAAACACACCTGAACCAGCTAATCGTTTTAAGTCACAGGTGTCAAAGTCGCAGCTCTGCACAGTTTAGTTCCAACACTAACTAAACACATCTTTGTCATTCATTGTGGAAGAAACACCAAAGCAAGCACCCGAGCTTTGAGCGAACCCTGAACCTTTGCGTCCAGCTCATTGGGAGGGGGATTTGTTAGTTATTGTGGTGCGCAGTTTAATGATTCAAGCCCAGGCTTGGTATCCACACAGCCATGCATTACGTGGATCCTTTTCACAAACGTCCACGACAAACCTTTCAATTCAAAGTTCCAACCCCAATCAAACACACCTGAACCAGCTAATCAAGCTCTTTCTAGGTCACAGGTGTCAAAGTTAATTCCTGGAGAGCCACAGCTCTGCACAGTTTACGTCCAACCCTAAATAAACACACCTTTGAAACCTACAGGTGAGTCTGTTGGAGCAGGGTTGGAAATAAAAACAAGGCTGCAACCCACCAGGAACAAGACTTTGACATCCCAATTTAGGTATATCAGAAACTTCCAGGGAGGTGAGCTGAAGGAAGTCGGAGCTGAACTATGCAGGACACCGGCCCTCCAGGACTGAGTTTGGACACCCCTGGCCAATGATTTGGTGTGTATGTTAGTACTTCAAAACAATGGTGTATAACACTGTAAATCAATTAAATAGAGTAGTTTACCATAGCATTTTGAAATTTATTGGTCACAGGTGTCAAAGTCAGTTCCTGGAGTGCCACAGCTCTGCACAGTTTAGTTCCAACCCTAATTAAGCACATCTTTGTCATTCATTGTGGAAGAGACACCAAAGCAAACACACAAGCTTTGACCGGACCCTGAACCTTTGTGTCCAGCTCATTGGAGGGGGGGGATAGGCAGTTTAATCATTCAAGCCCAGGCTTGGTATCCACACAGCCATGCATTACGTGGATCCACTTTCCAAACGTCCACAACAAACCTTCCAATTCGAAGTTCCAACCCCAATCAAACACACCTAAACTAGCTAATCAAGCTCTTTCTAGGTCAAAGGGTCTGCACAGTTTATTTCCAACCCTAACTAAAAACACCTTTGAAACCTACAGGTAAGAGTGTTGAAGCAGGGTTGGAACTAAACCAAGGGCTGCAAGCCTCCAGGAACTAACTTTGACACCTATGTTCTGGGTATACCAGAAACTTCCAGGGAGGTGAGCTGAAGGAAGTCGGAGCTGAACTATGCAGGACACCGGCCCTCCAGGACTGAGTTTGGACACCCCTGGCCAATGATTTGGTGTGTATGTTAGTACTTCAAAACAATGGTGTATAACACAGTAAATCAATTAAATAGAGTAGTTTACCATAGCATTTTGAAATTTATTGGTCACAGGTGTCAAATTCAGTTCCTGGAGTGCCACAGCTCAGCACAGTTTAGTTCCAACCCTAATTAAGCACATCTTTGTCATTCATTGTGGAAGAGACACCAAAGCAAACACACAAGCTTTGACCGGACCCTGAACCTTTGTGTCCAGCTCATTGGAGGGGGGGGATAGGCAGTTTAATCATTCAAGCCCAGGCTTGGTATCCACACAGCCATGCATTACGTGGATCCACTTTCCAAACGTCCACAACAAACCTTCCAATTCGAAGTTCCAACCCCAATCAAACACACCTAAACTAGCTAATCAAGCTCTTTCTAGGTCAAAGGGTCTGCACAGTTTATTTCCAACCCTAACTAAAAACACCTTTGAAACCTACAGGTAAGAGTGTTGAAGCAGGGTTGGAACTAAACCAAGGGCTGCAAGCCTCCAGGAACTAACTTTGACACCTATGTTCTGGGTATACCAGAAACTTCCAGGGAGGTGAGCTGAAGGAAGTCGGAGCTGAACTATGCAGGACACCGGCCCTCCAGGACTGAGTTTGGACACCCCTGGCCAATGATTTGGTGCGTATGTTAGTACTTCAAAACAATGGTGTATAACACTGTAAATCAATTAAATAGAGTAGTTTACCATAGCATTTTAAAATTTATTGGTCACGTGTGTCAAAGTCAGTTCCTGGAGTGCCACAGCTCTGCACAGTTTAGTTCCAACCCTAATTAAGCACATCTTTGTCATTCATTGTGGAAGAAACACCAAAACAAACACACAAGCTTTGACTGAACCCTGAACTTTCGCGTCCTGTTTATTGGGATGGGGGGGGGGGGGGGGGGGTGCACAGTTTAATCATTCAAGCCAAGGCTTGGTATCCACACCTGAACTACCTAATCAAGCCTAATCAAACCTTTCTAGGTCACGGGGGTCAAAGTCAGTTCCTAGAAGGCCTCAGCTCAGCACAGTTTATTTCCAACCCTAATTAAACACACCTTTGAAACCTACAGGTAAGAGTGTTGGAGCAGGGTTGGAACTAAACCAAGGGTTGTGCAGGGCTGCAAGCCTCCACGAACTAACTTTGACACCTATGTTCTGGGCACACTAGAAACTTCCTAAAAGGTATGTTGAAGGAAGCTGGAGCTAAACTATGCAGGACACCGACCCTCCAGGACTGAGTTTGGACACCCTTGGCCTATGATTTAGTGTATATTTTAGTACTTCAAAACATTGCTGTATAACATCATAAATTAATTAAATACTGTAATTTACCATAGCATTTTAAAATTTATGGTTTAGTTTCTGGCTAAATCAAATGAAACTCTTCTTTATAGTATATTTATGGATTTCTTAGTTTGTTTCAGAAAACTTCCAGTCAACAGCGCCTTCAAAAATATATTTTCTGAGAAAACTGACGTGTTCGAAACCTATTTCACCCGCTGTATATGGAAAAGTGGTGTAAAACCGAGAGAAAAGATTGTCACTGTTAGGTGCCACCAATGCTAGTACAAGAAACAATCACAACAGCAGAAGTGGAGATGCAACGTTGTGAGGGAACAACAACGCCTCCTCGACAAACTGCAAACCAAAGCGCTTTGATTAGTATAGTACACCCTGGATCACTATGTTAATTGGAAAGAGATGGGGGATTCTTGGTTGTTTACACACAGTCTGTCATTCATTGTAGAAGAAACCCCAAAGCAAACACCCAAGCGTTGAGCGAACCTTGAACCTTTGCGTCCAGCTCATTGGGAGGGGGGGATTTGTTAGTTATTGCGGTGCACAGTTTAATCACTCAAGCCCAGGCTTGGAATCCACACAGCCATGCATTAAGTGGATCCACTTCCCAAACGTCCACAACAAACCTTCCAATTCAAAGGACAATCCCGCGGTTTGCTCCCGAGGTTCTGCGAAGCTAGGAAAAAACGGGGGAGCGGCAGGATTCAGGCCAGAAGTTTGTGGAGGAAGCAACTTTGCATCAGGAGAGGTTGGACTTTTAGTTGAGGATGACTTCTTGCCTTGTTTGGATTTTGGGGATTTGCTCTTTGGTGAAGCAAGAGGTGCCGAGACTTGGGTCTCAAAGGAATCCCCTTCAAGACCAAATTGTGGTTGATTGTGGTTATTAAGAGACCAAGCAGGTCCAGATGGAGAAAAAGGTGGAGCTGAGATCAATGCCTCCATTGGTGGTACAAAACAAGTGCTTCCTGGAGTGGACGCCTGGGGTGCCTTCAATGACGAGTCTTGGGTGCTCATGGGATCAGCGAACGAGGGATCTTGCCCAAACATTGGCTCCCCGAAAGTTCCTCGAGGAGAAGGTTGAGTATCATTGAGGCTGAAAGCAAGAGAATCAGCTTTGCTTTCCAGGTTGAAAGCACTGTCGGTTTCCATCATGATGTTGTGCAATCCTGAGGACATTGCCAAGGGAGATAAAGTGGGAGATTTAGGGGAATTTATTGCATGTTCAAAGGTAGTTGTGGATGGTGGAGATGTGGCTGTCAGGGATAGCAAATCTTGGGTAAGAGACATAGGAATGAGACTTTCATCAGTGAAGTCTTCAGAAAGCGATACAAGACCGCTGTCCACTTCAGACTGAGCAAACTCCTGATGCATGGAGGCGGAAGCTGGAACAAAGGGTTCAGCGTTGATCGCCCATTCCTCTGGGATCTTCTTGCGACTTTTTGGCCTCTTAACTCTCCCGCCGATGCGTCCGCCATCTTCCCAGCCTTCCTTGAGTGGGGACGATTGATGGGGGCTCTCAGATAAAGCACTTTCACTTTGCATTTCAGTGTTAAAGTCATAAACCTCGTCTCTGGGTCGTCGTTTTTTCTTCTTCTTTTCCTTCTTTCGGTCGGATCCTTCACTTTCCCTGTCCTCGCTATCTCTCGGGGACCACTGAGGGTCCGGTGTATCATGTGGGCTCTCCACCAGCTGACTGGCGTGGCGAGTGATAATGGTGGAAACACTAGGCGTGAAGGGCAGGTCGGATGGGATGCCGGCCTCATCAGACCATCGGTCAGCAAAGACACCTCATATGTAAAGAAGAGAGGAAATTAGAGCAGTGCTAACTTCCTTTCTTACTCTTTCAATGATACACACAAGCATTTGCTGATTTATCAATCACTCCTCACACTCTCAGATGCATCTCTGTTCTTTCCAAGCTGCAAGGAGCAAAATCAAAGCATTTTGGATATCTTTTGAGCTCTAAGCATCAAAACAACACGCTAAGATTACTTTTAGTGTTAGAAAATTTTGCTGATTGTTCAATGCAGTATTTTAAAGAGATATTTCACCCAAAAAATTGGTTAACTATTTCACTTGTTCGAAAGCAGTTTGAGTTTTCATTGACGTGGTTCCATTCATTCATTCATTCTCCTTCAGTTTAGTCTATTTCAGGGGTCGCCACAGCGAAATAAACCTGCCAACTATTCTGGCATATGTTTTATGCAGCAGATGTCCTTCCAGCTGCAACCCAGTACTGGGAAACACCCATACACACTCATTCACACACACACACACACACTTATATACTACGGAAACCGGAGAAAACCCACGCCAACATATGAAGATCATGCAAACTCCACACAGACAGCTGGGACTCGAACCAGCGACCTTCTTGCTGTGAGTAGACAGTACTAACCACTGAGCCACCGTGCCACCCCCGCTCATTCATTTTCTTTAAAATTTTCTTAGTTCTGTTGAACACCAAAGAGGTTTTTTTACCATTGGGAAGCTTATAAAGAATATATTTGCTAAATTTGTGCAACTTGAACAGAAAACGCTTATTAGATATGGAGTAAATATCATCATAATAACAAGACACACGCGCACACATTACTGCACATCAGGGTTTATTTCGAAAGGTTCAGTAAACATCCTCAGAACAACATCCCATCGAACACATTTAGTCCACCGACACAATAGTGTTGAATTATGGATGGTTATTTTGTTTGTTCATCGTTTCTCCCGGAGACCTGTTGTTTACATTGTTTACTATGTTACTTGCGTCAAAAACAGCGTCTTTGTAGTTAAAAGCAAGACGAGGTCATAGCTTACAGTGTTACAAATAAAATGAGACCACAAACTGAGTAAAACGTCAAAGATATAGTTACTAAATTCTGAGTGTTTTGACGTTCTGCATATGCATATCTGTCAGATGATTTAAAAATTTCAACAAATATTGGTAGAAGGTAGAAACAAGAATTTATTAAATGCATACTGTAAATCTTAAGCTGTTCTGGACAAAATAATGTAATGTGTAACGTCAAAGACTCTAGAATACACAAGACGTGTCACTCGTATAGTTTTAAACAACGAAAAGTGTAACGATCCTACCTATATCCCGTATGCGAATATCCCGTTTTTTCCCGGGAGTCTCCCATATTTTCGACCCATCTCCCATCACCCTCTCATTTTGTTATTTCTCCTGGAAAACTCCCCCCACCCTCCCGGTCCTAAGCTTTTTGGTACTATCTGTAATACCCTTTGGTATCCAACTTTGGTATAGTATTTGATTGCAGCGGCCGCCCAAAACCCGGTGCATAGTAGAGTAATGTACCCAGTTCTTAGCTTTGCTATTCACACACCTCTTGGCAGGTATGGTAACGATCAATATAGCGCATGAAGCCCCGCCTTCTAGTACAGGAGCCAGTCATAGATCGCTATAGACTGAAGATTACCTGGGGGAGGGGCTCAGATCAGACGCAAGTTTTTGCAGATTTTGTGCGATTCGAACGTTTAGAAATGAAACTAAAGAGACACTTGATTAATTTTATTGGTGATTGTTTATATGAAATGATAATCATAAGCTTGGCAAGCTAATTTGAAGAATTTGAGGCTTCCCCATTTAAACAGAATCCCCAAGAGGTGTTTCAAAGATAGCCCCCAATTGAAATGACTTAAATGGACTTTGGTAATGTCTAATAAATGTAAATAGACTACTACTACAACTACTACTACTACTACTAATAATAATAATAATAATAATAATTCGTTACATTTACATAGCACTTTTCTAGACACTCAAAGCTCTTTACATATTGGGGGGTATCTCCCAATCAGCAGTGTGCAGCATCCACCTGGATGACGTGACAGCAGCCATATTGCACCAGATCGCACACTAGCTAATTGGTTAAACCCCTACGCTAACGTCCCATCCGAAAGACGACGCTCAGTATAGAGTCCCCTTCACTATACTGGGGTGTTATGACCCACACAGACCGCAGGTTGAGCGCCCCCTGCCGGTCTCACTAACACCACTTCCGGCAGCAACCTAGCTTTCCCATGTGGTCTCCCATCCAGGTACTGACCGGGCGCAGCCCTGCTTAGCTTAGCTGCTGGCTGTTTATATGTTAATATAATACATAACAAATATAAAGAACCACAGCAAACCGTAACTGACTATCCACTACATATAGCTTTTGTCTGATTTTATATGATTTAAAATATATAAAAAACAAACAATAAGGCAACACGGTGGCTCAATGGTTAGCACTGTTGCCTCACAGCAAGAATGTTGGAGGTTCGAGTCCCAGCTGGGTCAGTTGGTGTTTCTGTGTGGAGTTTGCATGTTCTACCCGTGTTGGCGTGGGTTTTCTCCGGGTGCTCCGGTTTCCCCCACAGTCCAAACACATGCGCTATAGGGAAATTAAAGAACTAAATTGCCCGTAGTGTATGAGTGTAAATGAGTGTGTATGGGTGTTTTCCAGTGCTTGGTTGCAGCTGGAAGGGCATCCACTGTGTAAAACATATGTTAAAATAGTTAGCGGTTCATTCCACTGTGGCAACCTGATGAATAAAGGGACTAAGCTGAAGAAAAAAGAATGAATATAAGCAATAATAATGTACTTGACTAAGATATTATGACTTGATTTATATTGCATACAGGTGTGTTTTGTCAAGTGGGATATAGAGATTTGATTTCAAGTGGGATATAGAGTTTGATTCAGTGTCTGCATATATTCTATTAATATTTTAGGCCAGATTAATGTCATTTTTCTCACTGTTGGGATTTTTCTCACTGCTTTTGGTACTGTAGTGTGACCTCTTTTGCATTCTGCTGCAGATTTGCATGAAACAGACTGTGCAATTGAGGTCAAGCAGAACTCATTTGTGTACTCCATCTAATCTACTTTCCAGAAGTAACGAGCAGAAACAATAGTTTGTGGGTTATGAACTGTACAGTAATGCAGGATGACTTCTCATGCACTAAACGAATGGACGACATGCCCGTCTGACCCAGATATCTTCATCTTGGAAGGTAATAAAGTCTATAACGTGAACAGTGATAAATGACAGTGGAAATCAGACAGACGGGTCTGAGCTGTTCGGACTAACTGGGGGAGTGCAAAGCATTATGGGAGAAGCTCATCTGTGACTATTGGGTACAGTTGTATATGAGAGGGAAAAAAATTGTTATTAAAGTTTCCTTATGACATCAAATTAAGTCAGAGTTTTTCCATTTGCATGACTAAGAGAGGCAGCAAGTGATTCCGGCCACTAGAGGGTGCATATTTACAACAAACAAAGCACAGTTTGATGATGTCATGACTGAGTGTGGAATCATGGGAGTTGTGGTCTTTATAATCCTGCAGAAGTCACAAGTGATGGATGTATTAACTAAAGTATTATATTTAAATATTAATTAAAGACTTGATATCATCCTAGTATGAAGCAGAGTAGGGCGAAATGAGGAAACACTTAAATTGATGAGAGACGAGCGCAACAATACACAACTATTCAATAATAAGACAGAGACTGTAACGAAATGACCATTCATTTCTAAATTATAGAGTACAGATCAGGCGCGAGTGGTAATGTTTCATCATGTGTACTTTAATGATTAGTTTAATTTAATAAATTTGTATTTTTGGAGTCTTGGCGTTACCGCCTTTGATTAACATTTAATTTGCACTTTTTGTGTTTTTTTTTGGCTGAGCACCCAGTTAAGAGGGATGTGCGTGCTTTTGTACAGTTTTTTCATTACTTTAATGATTAGTTAACAGGTTTGCTAACAATTGTCAGAAATTTATTTTTTAAATTATGACTAAGAGCACATTCATTTAGATTTTAGAGGTAGCAGTAAGTTAGTCTTATAAGAAATAATCACGAGGAAACATTCTGAATAGTTCCTTTAAGGTATTTTACCACACATTATTTAATGACTGCAAAAAATAACCTACTGATAACCACGAGCGAACGTACTTTATAGCTTATTTTTCAATATCCACCCAGGAACCATTCAGAAACATTGTTTTATAGTTCATCTAACCTTACTTTTTGGTTTTTGGTTAATTAAAAAATGTAAAATAAAAAATATAAAAATAACTAACTTAAAATAAAAAGCCTAATTAAATTAAATTAGAATCATCAGCAGAGTGTAGCTGGACGGTTTAAAAGCAAACTAACAGGTCTTTGAGGGTCAAAAATCTGGCTGAAGGGTAAGTGATCAAATACTTATTTGACACAGTGATTTACAAATAAATTGTCAAAAAAAAATCATACAATGTGATTTTAATTTTTTTTACGATTCTGTCTCTCACAGTGGTAATGCATCTATGCTGAAAATTCTACACCCCTCCATGATTTCTAAGAGATCTTGAAAAATCACAGGGTGATCCAATCCTTATTGACCTCACTGTATATACTGTATATATTAGGGCTGCTCGCTTATGAGAAAAATCATAATCACGATTATTTGGGTCATAATTGTAATCACGATTGTTCAAAATGATTATCAGTTGAAGTCAAAATTATTTGCCCTTCTGTGAATTATTTAAAAAAAATAAAAAATCCCAAATGATGTTCGACAGACTCAGGAATTTTCCACAGTATTTCCTATAATATTGTTTCTTCTGGAGAAAGTTATTTTGGCTGGAATAAAAGCAAGTTAAGATATTTTAAAACTCATTTTAGGGTCAATTTTATTAGCTCCTTTAAGCAATATATATATATATTTATATTTTGATTGTCTGCAGAAGAAACTACTGTAATACAATGACTACAATGACCTAATTACCCTAACTTTAATCTAATTAACCTAGTGAAGCCTTTAAATGTCACTTTAAGCTGTATAGAAGTGTCTTGAAGAATATCTAGTCTAATATGTGCTGTCATCATGGCAAAGAGAAAATAAATCAGTTATTAGAGATGAATTATTAAAACTATTATGATTAGAAATGTGTTGTAAAAAAAAATCTGCTCTCTGTTAAACAGAAATTGGAGAAGAATATACAGGAGGGCGTATATAACACTGTTCCATTAGTTTTTTTTTTTTTTTTTTTGATATTTTGATGAAACACTCTTACACATTGTGCCTTTAACAATCAGCCGCTTGATGACTGTGCTTGAGTTAATGTGACCAGTCGGTGTATAACACACAGTTTGCACATCAACAACCAGCATTTAGACTCAAATCAGGCAGAATATGGCTCTAGAGCTCAATATAAATCACCAGCGGGCGGCATGAGTCTGAGTCTCAGCTGTACTGTACTGACACACACACACACACACACACACACTGCTGTTAAGCCCCTGGGAAAACACAACACATGTACAGTTCAAAACCGAATCACTCGCAATCCTGTGAAACTTTTAATATTATTGTTCAATTATTTCAGAAGTTCTGTTCAACATGGAGAAGATGCTAAACTCATTACTAGTTATGATAATAATAATTACTAATATCTAATCATTATTAATTTAGTCTCTGCCATGATTACAGCGCATAATATTTTACTAGTTATATTGCAAGATACTAGTATTCAGCTTAAAGTGACATTCATTTATTCATTCATTTTCTTTTTGGCTTAATCCATTTATTAATCTGGGGTCACCACAATGGAATGAACCACTAACTTATCCAGCATATGTTTTACACAGCGGATGCCCTTTCGCCTGCAACCCATTACTGGGAAACATCCATAAACACTCACATTCACACATACACACACACTCATATACTATACGGCCAGTTTAGTTGATCAATTCCCCAATAGCGCATGTGTTTGGACTGTGGGGGAAACCGGAGCGCCCAGAGAAAACACATGCCAACACGGGGAGAACATGCAAACTCCACACAGAAATGCCAATTGGCCCAGCTGGGACTCAAACCAGCGACCTTCCTGTTGTGAGGCCACAGTGCTAACACTTAGCCACCATGCCACTCCCATAAAGTGCCATTTTAAGACTTAACTGTATGTGGAAATTATAATTTCTTAAGGTGGTATTTACTTTTTAAAAAGCAGTGTATATGCATTAGATTGGTCAGTACCAAAGCCTAAACTTGAGCTGATTTAACAATGATTGAAGAAGATCGGTGTAGGTCCTCAAATTAATGTTGAAAATATTAAATAAAATTGTAATAAACAGGAAAAATCAAAAGGAAAATGGAAAACTGTTGATTTTTTTTTAACATACAGTTAAAGTCAAAATTATTAGCCTGTTTATTTTTTTCCCCAATTTCTGTTTAACAGAGAGCAGATTTCTTCAACACATTTCTAATCATAATAGTTTATTAACTCGTCTCTAATAACGGATTTATTTAATCTTTGTCATGATGACAGCACATAATATTAGACTAGATATTCTTCAAGTCACTTCTATACAGCTTAAAGTGATATTTAAAGGTTAATTAGGGTAACTAGGCAGGTTAGGGTAATTAGGCAAGTTATTGTATAATGATGGTTTGTTCTGTACACAATCGAAGAAAAAATAGCTTTAAGGGGCTAATAATATTGACCTTAAAATGTTGTTTAAAAAATTAAAACTGCTTTTATTCTAGCTAAAATAAAACAAATAAGACTTTCTCCAGAAGAAAAAATATTATCAGACACACTGTGAACATTTCCGTGCTCTGTTCAACATCATTTGGGAAATATTTCAAACAGAAAAAAAAATTCAAAGGGGGCGAATAATTCTGACTTTAACTATATATATATATATATATATTTTACATATATTTTTTTGCAATGTATTATCTTTCTGACCAAACTCTTATTTTATTGGATAGAATGGTTTAATAAAACTGCTTTGTTTAAATGCACCAAAAACCAATTGTCTGTTATACTGACTAAAAAAAATGAATGTTCATAATAGGGTGTACTCATTTATGCAGAGCACACTATACATGTATTGTTCCAGCAAAACTGAGTAATCAAACGTTCTCCAGAAGAAGGAAATTGTAAAAAAAATTCCGTGCAATGTTAAAAATCACTTAGCAATTATTTTAAAAGAAATTAAAGTGTCACAGGAGAGCGAATCATTTAGTGTTGAGCTGTACTTGACTCGCTCTGACAACTGATATGTCCATCTAGCTGAACCAGTTACAGTGCCTCCTAGTGGACAGTTGTGGCTTTAATTACTGATGGATTAGATATTGACTCCACAGGGGCTCCTGCAGGAATCCCATAATCCCCCATACAACACACATGGGAAGTGCATGAGGGAAAGAGAGTACATAGTATTTAAAGATGATTACAGAGACGCTACAGAACTGTACCCAACTGTTAGTCCCTATTGCACTCAGAATTGGGTTGAAATAACCAGGCATTTTTTAGAGTTACAAATCCTAGATTAATTATTATTTTTTAATTAATAGGATTAAATTTAACCCAATGCTTAACCCAAAAGCATTATTGTAAAAGTGTTATCCTTGTGTGTGTGTGTGCGTCCTCTACCTGCAGATGTGTCCAGTGGGCTCTTGGCTGTGCTGGCCGGCAGGGGTTCAGCTGGGTTGTTTGGGGCTTCAGAGGCCTGAACCGCTGCTGGACTCTGTGTTTCAGCTACACCAGAAGCTCTTTCAGTCTGAAGTGGAGCAGCACCTGTGATCGGCTCAGAGAAATCTGAGGATGCAAACAAATACAGAGGAAAAAGAAACACACATCAAATACATGACATTCTTACATTTCAAAATGTACTTGTCAGTGTATATATATATATATTAATTATATATATATTATATTATATTAGCATAGGACATTAGTCTTATTTTTGAATCTGACACACAGGAATTTATAGCTCCGCCCTCTTTTATAAATCTCATTTGAATTTAAAGCTACAGTCACCAAAACACCACAATTGGAATCAAAGCCTAAAAGCGTGATGCAGACTTGATGCAGTTATAAGGTGAGTTGTGTGCAATGATTTTTGATAGGCACATCTAATCCCACCAATAACCCCGCCCCTCACAGTGATGTCACTAGCTCCATTCAGTGCATTGTGTCTTGACATTGCAAGTCTGAGATATGCAGTCTCAACTTGCAAATCCCAGTCTGCATGCAGATACTATTGAAAAGGGTCAGTTTCAGAGAGTTACCTGTGGAGTATTTTGAGCTCATACACACTCTAGATAAATAGAGTTTGAAATGTTAGTCACAGGCCAAAAAACACATTTAACTGTCACTGTGATGCGACTATTTCAGATTCATAAACTGTGATATCGGTGCTGAAATGATATATTGTGCAGCCCTACACCAGATTTCTGCGTGTGGCATCAGGTATGACTGAGCTGGCGTTTGCTCTGTAACAGGTGGTGAATCCTCCATCAGACACCAGCTGAATCCTGATGTGCTCGTGACTCAACATCTCCCATGAGCCCTGAACACCAGCGCCAGTATCCACTATTGTTTATCACAGAGCAATAGACCTGTTCGTTTACCCTACTGATGGATTCATGCTCAATAGCAAGACTAGTATTATTACTAGTAACTAAATGTTGTTATGTCATGATCAAAACATTTTTTTGCTTTTATTTATTATTATTATTATTATTATTATTATTATTATTATTATTATTATTATTATATTATCAATATTATTATTGTTATTATAATTACTATTATTATTATTATATTATTATTATTATTATTATTATTATTGTTATTATAATATTATTATTATTATTACTATTATTATTAGTAGTAGTAGTAATAGTAGTAGTATTACATTATTATTATTAATATTATTATTATTATTATTATTATTACTATTATTATTATTGTTATATTATTATTACATTATTGTTATTATTATCATTATTATATTATTATTATTTTTATATTATTATTACATTATTGTTATTATTATCATGATTGCATTATTATTATTATTATTATTATTATTAATATTAATATTTAAATTATTGTTATATTATTATTAATATTATTATTATTATTATTATTATATTATCAATATTATTATTGTTATTATAATTACTATTATTATATTATTATTATTATTATTATTATTATTATTGTTATATTATTATTACATTATTGTTATTATTATCATTATTGCATTATTATTATTATTATTATTATTATTATTAATATTAAAATTATTGTTATATTATTATTATATTATCAATAATAGTATTATTGTTATTATATTATTATTATTATTATTATTATTATTCATATCTGGCCAATGACTCTGCACCAGCCCTATAACCAGGGAGAGAATAACCTAACTGCAGATGCACATTCGTACAACACATTAAAAGGCATTTTCATAAAGCACAACTGGAAGTGTTTAAAATCTGTAGATGTGTTATAATAAACACCAAAGAAAGAGGCGCTTTTTGTATTTTGTTTTCTAAACTCAAGTTTGAAAGTGTGCCTTTTAGCTTCTGTGTGGTCTAGCATGCTGTAATTAATTTTGGTGGTTTCTGCACATGTCTGTAATCTTAGGAAAAAAGAGAAATGTCTCCACCATAATCTATTCAGAAGTTATTGTGTTCCAGCTGAGGAGAGGTGCTGTACAAGCCACAGGGAGTGATCATTGTTCTCATATTTCACTATTCTTTTGTTTGATCAAACATAATTCACTGTGTTTGGAGCATGTCAGACATATAAAAGGATTACTTATGCACATCAGCTCAAAAACAGAGGAGAAATGGCCCTGAAGCGCACAGCATAAGGTAAGATGACAGCTGTCTGTGCTATCTGGGGCTGCTTATTGATCATAAATGTATTGTTTTCACTTCTGCGCCATGGAAACACAGAGATTCATTCGGCAACTGTTTGATATGTAAATATAATTCAGTAAAAAGAATGCTAGAACCGTATGAGCACCGGCAAGAGCTTTCATTTGAGCTATAACTTATACATGAGTCATATGAAAAATATGAAAATAAACCAATGTTCAATACCCAGCTCGGGTATCAAAATACTGTGTATTTAAGTGTAAATAACTTTTGTACTGTAGAATAAAAACCAAAGTGATGCATATGTGCATAAAATATAGATTCTACACTTTCAAATGACACCACTTACAGGGGTCTGATGCAATGCTGGCCCTTTAAATCTGAAAGCGAAAGTCGACGACGTCACGGACGCGGTACAGAGTTCGCAGAGTTTGACTGGTTAAAACAAAACAATGTTTTGCTTGTCTAAAAAGTGTTTCTTGATTTAAGAAGTTTTAGATATTTAGATTAAAAACAAGACAAAAATATCCAAGTAAGAAAAGCATATTTTGTAGTGTATTGTGTATATTTAATTTCAGATATCAGTCTGAAGATGCTTAAAGTTCCCCCAACATCAATAACACAATGGAGGTACAGCTGTGATCTCCACGAATGAGGTCTGGGGTAATTAGAGGTGTTGTTTTGCCGGACACACAATTATAGTAAAACCTAATTAACAGCCGGAGAGAGATTCAACAACATGACACTGAGCAAATAAAAGCAGATAATTAGCGAGAGACTCGGCCTGCAGCTGCAGAAGAAACAAGCTCGATCACATTAGAGAAACACTTCTCAAACACTCTCAAACACAGACACACACATGAAAAAAGTAGTATTAATAGTAGTAATACTAATAATATTGATGGGCGGCACTGTGGCCTCACAGCAAGAAGGTCTCTGCTTTGAGTTCTGGCTGGGTCAGTTGTCATTTCTGTGCGAGTTTCCTCCGGGTGCTCCGGTGTCCCCCACAGTCCAAACACATGTGCTATAGGGGACTTGATGAACTACATTGACCATAGTGTGTGTGTGTGTGTGTGTGTGTGTGTATGGGTTCATTTCGCTGTGGCAACTCCTGATGAATAACCGTACGTTCACGCCGAAAGCAGCGAGAGCATCAAAGTAGCTGGAAGTCATTCATTTTCGATTTGAACAGATGTGTGTGTTGAGCATCAGTGAAGCATCCTGTCAGCTTTAATTGTGGGGAAAACTGAATAATTTGGAGCTTTTATCAACTAATTTTTTTTTTTAGTTAGTCACACACACACACACACACACACACACACACACACACACACACACACACACACACACACACACACACACACACACACACACACACACACACACACACACACACACACACACACACACACACACACACACACACACACACACACACACACACAAAAATTCTGGAGGTTTAAAATAAGTGTTGGTTACTCACTATTTTTCCATAGCGGAGTTTTCTTCTCCTATGAGAAGACCCTGCTTCTTAATTATTAATGAGAGCACGTGCTTTCTGCTGCACTGCTATCCACTGTGTCTGCATTCAGACCCGGAGGCAGGTCATTGTATAACAGTGGTTTGTTCTGCAGACACACCAAAACAAATATAGCTTAAAGGGCCATGAAACCCCCTCGTTTCAGCAGGGTGTTTTCACACCTCTACTTTGGAAAAAGTCAGAAAAGTGGGCGTGTCCAGCTCTGTTTAGGGGGGAGTGTCGGAGGAACTAAAGTGGGAGGGTGTGGGAGTGTCTATTTGGGCACGCGCGAGTTTCAGAGTCAAAAAACAGACAGGAGAAAGTGATGGTGTTTAACCTACATGGACATCTGTAGTCGAATTATTTGCCAAATTATTAAATGGTGGACTTTAACTGCAGTTTGGCTCTTTTATTCAGGGAATTCATTCATGTCCCTCCCGACAAACGTGATATTTGATTGGAGGAACTGCTCTAAGCGTGTATTTTTCATGCAATGTTTGATACCGCACGACGAATGAGAGAAAAAAAACCTCCGCATTTCCCGGAAACTTAGATGCACACGGCAGGTAGTGTCAGAAAGCCGCGTGTGTTATTCCGGTCACTAAATGCGGTGAAAATCCTACACGAGGTTAAAGTTTGGTTGTGGTGCTAACATGTTTACACTCGGTGCAATGGTTAACTTAGTTTGATACGAACAAACTGAATAAACCAAGAGCTCTGGTCGCTCACTTACCAAATCTATAGAGACAGGACAATCACCAGCAACTAGAGACGCGTCTTTATTAAGAGGAGACTACAAGCGAATCCGGATCTCAGCGTTTGCAGATGAGAACAGCTCTCAGGTGAACAATGTTCCTCCTTAGACACGTAAGTTATTGTTGTCGCGCGTCGCGTACACTGTTAATCCACACGTGACTCCAGCTGCGCTCTCAGAGAGAAAATGAAAACAAAACTTCACTGCAGCAAACTATAAAAGCAACACTTCACGCTTGTTTTGCCAACACAACGTGGCGTCTCTGTCGTCTAAACACTGTGACACTAATGAATATTAATGAAGTTGCACAATAGAGCGCGCTGATTGGTTTGAACCAAGCCTTACTCATGCATTAATGCATCACACTGTAAGACGTAATAAGACACACTCTGGCACAGACGTCCAGTCTGCACGCTGGAATACACGCTATTATGTCATGACCGTGACGCAGCTTCAAAAATTCGTTTCAAACCGGAAGTACAAATTTGCTTGAAATAAAGCAAAAGCAACCAATTTACACTTTTTAATGAAATATAGGTGTCCTAATAGTGTTTTTAGCAGTGTGGGACACATATACCACTGTCAACAGCTCAACACATGTGTTCTGGTGTTTCCTGACCCTTTAAAGGGGCTAATAATATTGACCTTATAAAGCCTTTAAAACAATTAAGAACTGCTGTAATTCTAGCCGAAATAAACCAAATAAGACTTTCTCCACAAGAAAAAATATTATAGGAAATACTGTGAACATCTGTTCAACATCATTTGGGAAATATTGGAAAAAGAAAAAAACACAGGAGGGCCAATAATTCTGACTTCAACTGCATATTCTAATATACTAATGACGTACAGTAGGTGAGGCGAGTAAATGACTGACCTGTGAACGACCCCATGGAGCTGCTGTCCATCATCATCTGAGAGCCAAACTGATCAGGACATCCAGACATCGAGACTAAAGACAGAAAGAGAAAGAGAGAGAGACTTTTATTTACATTTAAAAACATTTTAATTAATATTAAAACCTCAAAGTGCAAAGAACAACTACAAAACATCACAAGACAACATCCCAACATGCTTTAATCACGTCTCGCTAGGACTTTTGCAATTCCCTGTTTGGAGGATACATCCAAAATTCTGTGCATGTGTGTTGACACGTACTATAGCTGCGTCCCAAATGGCACACTATACACTAATGCACTATGTACTTATGCACTTACACACTCAACAGTATAGTATATGTATGTAGTGTCGTCCCAAATGGAGCACTAATGTTTAGATACTAAGCGGAAATTCAAACCGTCTCCCTGAAGACGTTTGCCAAATCAGTGAAATAAACCACCGAGTTATCAAATAATACCTGCCATCAGTATAACCAGATTCACCATCAGGAGGCGCTATAACCACTCTCATAGGAGAATTTTGCTTTCACCATCCAAAATAAATAAAGTATCCAACATGTGCGCCCGATAGCTCCGCCCCTTCCGCTACGTGAGCAAACCTGCGACTGCTGAGTGTGTGAAGTGTCCAGCATTACACACTAATGTTTACCGGCTGAATGAGTGCATCATGCAGGTAATTAAAGTGCACTTATTATTTCTAGAGTTTTCAGTGTGAACACACTACTTACACTATTTATACTACAAAATGACGTAGAGTAGTACTTAGAGTAAGTAAGCGATTTGGGACGCAGCTATAGTCTCGGTCGCACATCACTCCTATACTCCAACAGCTTCACTGGCTGCCCGTCAAGTCTCGCATTGATTTTAACATGTAAAGCGGTTCATGGTTCTGCTGCAGGTTACATTTGTGACCCTGATATCCGTTGCCTCTCGCTGTCTACCAGGGCCGGAGTGGGACACCTTTTCAGCCCTGGAGTTTCAAGCCTCAGACCGGCCCACCTCAGTTCACGACTGACTATATTAAAATAAGGTCATTTCCAATTCAGTTGCTAATTACACTATCACGTCTTTTTTTTTTTGAGAAAACAGCTGCTTTAGAACTTCAAATGTTCAACAACCCTAACAGTATTATATATCTTAACAATAAAAATGAAAACAATAAATTACTCTAACGAGGATCGAACCCGGGTCCGCGGAGTCTTAACCGAACGTGCTTACCACTGGACCACAACAGCTGTGAGTGTCATGGAGACACATTTAAGTTTTATTATCATTAAAATAGATAAAAAGAGAAGAGTTGCGATAAAATAATGAATAAAAAGGCTTTGGTCAAGTAAATAAATAAATTTAAAAAGTGTGACTGCTGAGAGCAACAGATTCTGGAGCTAGGGACACCGGCCCTCGCGGCCAAAAAACCGACCGGCCCACCGGGAATTCTCCCGGTCCTCCCGATTAGCCAATCCGGGCCTGCTGTCTACGCTCTGCCTCGGGTCCTATGCATCCTTCAGCCTCGCTGCAAACTCAGCACCATGGGAGGTAGAGCATTCTCTTTCCGTGCTGCCAAACTGTGGAATGCTCTTCCCACTAACATTAGGAATGCCGGCTCATTGGACGCTTTTAAAAAGCTTCTCAAAACTCATCTTTTTAGGTCTGTTTTTAATTTGTGAAATTTTTTATTCTTACTGTGTTTTTATTGTTCACTGTGCTTTGTTGTTTTTACTTTCTTGTAAGCGCTTTGGGTTTTAGAAAAGTGCATTATAAATAAAATATATTATTATTACTAGTTTTTTTTTTACAATGGCAATGACAGTTTATTTCAATACATTTAACAAGTTGCCTAAACTCTTAACACGATTAGCACAACATCAGTTTTTGTTGGCTCTACAATTAACACATTTCTTGTTGCTTTGACACAAAATGCATCCAGTTAACGCCAATTTAAAAGGCTTAAACTTCTTTTACACACAAGCACAACCAAGAGCAAAACGATGTCATTTTACAGTCAAATTTACCAATGCGTTCACACAGTTCGTCAGAACAGATAACACCATGTTCTAAACACAACTTATATAGGCTAAAGTCAAAGTGAATTGTGAATTGAAATACACATATATTCCCTGTATTTTTTCCATTGCCAATGAGAAACAGCTTATTGCAATGTATATAAAATCACAGCTGATGCCCTCTAGAAACCACACTCATGTGTTGAGGTTTTCCAATCACATGATCACATGTTCTAGAAGAGGAACAGCGAGTGCAGAATTGAAGATTACTTCTTTTTTGTATTACTTTGTGTTGTTTTTTGGCTATTTCTGTGTGTATATCTTGCAGTAATGTCCTTTTGTAAATAAAGTCTGTACTGCAGCAATTCTGTGTCCGTTTTTTTTTTTTTTTACATAAACTGTACATTTTATAAAGCAATTTTTTCTTCATTTTTTGCACAGAATTTTTGCAGTAAACGAAAGAAAATGCCTGCATTTACTAAACCCAACAACACAAAACTGTAGAGAGGCTTCAAATATAAGGGCAGAGCTGACACAAACTAATGCAGTTTCTGTAATGTCAGCTGATGATCCTGTTTTCATTGTCGGTGTGTTCTGATTGACTGAATGTTTCTGTTGGAGGAGAACATGTGTTAGTGTTTTGAACAATAATTTGATTTTGAAACATGTTTGCAGTGTTTGGTTAAACATGGTGTTTTGTGTTCGTTTATTATTGTATTTTAAACATTAGTTTACAGGTTTAGTTTACAATGTGTGATTTTGAGCATGAAATTAACTGTTTTGCCAAGTGTGTGTTTTAGGTGTGTTGCTGCATTAGGAGTTTAGCAAACTTGTTAAATGTACTGAAAAAAACTGTCATAGCCATTGTAAAAAAAACTGTATTATTATTATTATTATTATTATTATTATTATCCCATCAGCAACTAAATTATCACATCTCTTCTGCACATACAGCAGCATGCACAAAGCTTCACCCAAACACAATTACAGTTTAATTTCAAGTAAATACCCTGTGAGCTGATCAAAAGTATATTCCATAGAGAGAGATAAACACAAACAACAGTGTGTACGTGTGTGTGTGTGTGTGTGTGGTACAATGCTGCAGATGCTGAGCTGCATCTCAATGAGATCAGAAAAGTGACGAGTGTTTTCAACAGCACAGACACAGAAAAACAAGCAGAGCATTATTACAGCAGAGACGGACAGATGCAGATGCTCGTGTGTGTGATTTCCCAGCCTGATCCCACCAGGAAACAGATATATATTACGTTGTCAGTGTAGAGTCTGCTTCATACGAATTCAGTCGTACAAAAATGTTCATTCATTCAGTTTCCTTCAGCTTAGTCCCTTTATTTATCAGGGGTCGCCACAGCGGAATGAACCACCAACTATTCCAGCATGTTTTACAGAGCGGATGCTGTTTCAGCTGCAACCCAGTACTAGGAAACACCCATACACACTCATTCACACACACACTACTGCCAATTCAGTTCATCAATTCACCTATAGCGCATGCGTTTGGACTGTGAGGGAAACCGGAGCACCCGGACAACTGGACCCAGCTGGGATTCGAACCAGCGACCTTCTTGCTGTGAGGCCACAGTGCTAACCAACAGTTATATTATTGCACAGATCATGCATTCATTTACTTTCATTCGGCTTAGTCCTTTTGTCCATCAGGGGTCACCACAGCAGAATGAACCACTAACTATTCCATCATAAGCTTTACACAGTGGATACCCTTCCAAAGCAACCCAGTACTGGGAAACAACTATTCACTATCATTCACACACACACTCAGATACTTAGGTCAATTTAGTTCATCAGTTCCCCTATAGCGCATGTGTTTGGACTGCGGGGGAAACCGGAGCACCTGTAGGAAACCCACACCAACACGGGGAGAACATGCAAACTCCACACAGAAAAAGCTGGCCCAGCCGGCATTGAATAAGCAACCTTCTTGCTGTGAGGCCACAGTGCTAACCAGTGCAGATCATGCATAGATCATAAATGCATCAAAATGCGCAGTAGAAGCTGAGCTCACCTGACAGCAGGTCAGTTTCAGTGGTCAGATGTGTCTGGACGTCCTCTTGTTTCTCCTTCCAGGACATCAGCGGACTCGCAGCGCCTGAAAAACACAGAGAAAGTCATCTTTCCACTCAGAGCATACAGACAGTAAATCCACGTCTGTCTCAAACACACACTGGAGTATAGATGTGGCTCTCTCTGTAAAGCGCTGTGAACTCATCGGTGAGAAACTCAATCCAGGCCTGATCTGATGTGGCATTTCTGGACGCGCCACAAACCCGGCGGCTGATGCTGAAAACAGCCGACAGGACGGAGCCAAAGTCAGAAACCCAAACACAGCCGCGGGTCAGACTGTCTGAGGGTCAAAGGTCATTCAGATATGGGTTCACACACTGTCTGTGCTCTGCAGCCACAATAATGGCAGTCAGCAGGAGCATATCACACCATAATATCAGCAGTGAATCAGCAAACTCTCCTAATATATTTTTGAGTTCTCATTTATTTTTTAGAAATATTTTCCCCCCAATATTTGTACAGTATATATTGGCAGTATATATAGGCTAGTGTCAAAATGACTCGCCCTCCTGTTAAATTTGCTTTATTTTTCAAATATTTCCCAAATAATGGAAAACAGATTGAGTAATTGTTCACAGTATTTCCTATAATATTTTTTCTTCTGGAGAAAGTCTTATTTGTTTTATTTCAGCTACAATAAAAGCAGTTTTTCATTTTTTAAGCCCATTTTTAGGTCAATATTATTTTAATATATATAACATTTTTAGCACTTTAAGCAATATTAGTTTTGGATAGTCTACAGAACAAACCACTGTTATACAATGACTTGCCTAATTACCCTAACTTTACCTTAATTACCCTAGTGAAGCCTTTAAATGTCACTTTAAGCTGTATAGAAGTGTCTTGAAGAATATCCAGTCTAATATTATGTGCTGTCATCATGGCAAAGAGAAAATAAATCAGTTATTAGAGATGAGTTTTTAAAAATGTTATGTTTAGAAATGTGTTGAAGAACCTCTCCATTTAACATTCCTTGGAAAAATATATAAAAAAATTATAATAAAAATGGCATAAGATGAAACAAAAGACTAAAATAAAATAAAATAACTAGGACTAAAATAAAATATTGGACTAATATAACTAGGACTAAAATAAAATAAAATAATTAGGAGTAAAATAAGATAAAATAACTAGGACTAAAATAAAATATTGGACAAATATAACTAGACCAAAATAAAATAAAATAAAATAAAATAAAATAAAATAAAACACTAAGACTAAAATAAAATAAAATAACTAGGACTAAAATAAAATATAGGACTAATATAACTAGGACTAAAATAAAATAAAAAATATAGGACTAAAAAAAATTTAAAAATTAATAATCTTTTTAATTAATAAAATAAAACAAATAAAATAATTATATATATATATATAATATATATATATATATATATATATATATATATATATATATATATATATATATACATATATATATAAACATAATACATACACACAAATAAAAATAAAATAAATGAAAATAAAATAAAATGCCGAGTTCAGACTGAATGATTTTAGCTCCGATCTCGACTCGCCAACAGGTTGAGAAATCGTAGACAAATGCCTGGTAAATCACAGGTAAATCCGTGCTCGTTCATGTGAGTAACAATCACACAGTTTGCAAAGACACGATTTGAGAGAGAGTTGCAGATGTCCACGAGATATTTGGCATGCAAAATTTCTGCAGCGGTCGACGATTCAAAATCGTGCTGTGTGAAATGTGTTCTGATTGAAAATAACATTGGCAATTACCTATAGCCAATCAGAGAGCAGCATCCAGGCCAGCAGGAGGCTGGGGAGGAGTCGTACTCACACCAGGTACAGTTGCATCGAACCGTGCAGAAGCATGATTGTCCCCTCACCCCGGACGGCCAGCACTCATACTGCCGTCTGCCTTCCGAACCAGAGCACACATACGTCATCAATGACGGACTGTTCAGTTTAACAGGAACAGAAGCGCTCTCGCTCAGCACAGTGGACATTTCTTTAGTTATATCGCGTCAGTGGTTTGATATGCGGTGACACGCAGTCAAATATTTCGCCAAACAGATCCACAATTTTTGATGTCTAAAAGTCCTGGTGCTGCAGGTATTAGGAGGTTTGCTGAAGGTGCAGCTGTGGTGCAGTGAAGGGTTTGCGTCTTTAATAAACTACAACAGTTCGGGTTCTTTGAACACCAAGAATGATTAATAAATCCATATCAAACAGTCTCTTAAAGTCATGTCACGTCTTCAGTTTCAGCCTCAGGTGTGTTTTGCACTCAAACTACAAGCGTACCGCGCCAAAGCCTAACCGAACCATGCTCTGGCACATCTCTTCCAACCAGGCCAGGGGCCCGGCCAATTGAACTACGCCTGAGCCTGATTCAGAGCACTCACACTTCTCAAACGATCCGGGAAATGAGCCTGAGCACAGTTTGGAAAGCATAGTGTGAGGAGGCCTCTTTTAGGTCTATTTAGGACCCAAGAAATGGAGAAAGAACAAGTGGAAATTTGGCAAACCGTGTCTGTTTGACGTGTCATCAGATAAATACCACAATCAGGGCCAAAAAGGAAAGAGTTTAACAGAAATTGCTAATTCCTTTTAAAAGCCATGTGCAAAATAAGTACATTTTCCAGCCCACTAAAGGCTTCTTTCTCATTATGTAGTTCAGGGGTCACCAATCTGGGTCCTGGAGGGCCGGTGTCCCTGCAGGGTTTAGCTCCAACTTGCCTCAACACACCTGCCTGGATGATTCAAGTATACCTATAACAGCTTGATTAGCTTGTTCAGGTGTGTTTGATTAGAGTTGGAGCTCAAATCTGCAGGACACCGGCCCTCCAGGAACAAGTTTGGCGACCCCTGATGTAGTTAATAACAAAAGACATACATTGTGACCTCGCGTTGTTTCCATGTCACTTCTGGCATCCGTTTGGTTGTGAGACATAGTTTGTGGGCCGAGACAAAGTTGTTGGTGATTGGTCCTACTGTAAAATCATGCAGTGTGAACCCCGCTGTCGCTGATCCATCCTGCTGCGTTAACACAGTAGAGAGGGATGCTGCCCCAGACAGTCATCGAGTGTCAAACTTCTGTGATGTATCTACTTTGAAAACCGAAACTCAGCATAAGAAGGATGATTCAAGATAATTAATAAGTATAATTAATCACTATTGCATTATTTATTTATGTTTTATTGTATTGTTACTGTTTCTGGGGAGTTTAATAATAAGTATTTGTGTTTACTGGGTCTATGATGGAAATATTCAATGACAGCACTGCCGCTGTAGGCGAGTGGAGGGATAAGGGGATGTTAAAAGGAGGTAAAATGTGTAAACTGATTGAATTGTGAAATTATTGAAGAAAAAGAAAATAAAAATTAAATCATAATACCACTATTGCACAGAACATTGAATGATTTTGTCCATTTTCTGGGATATGAATCTTTCATTTGATGCTTTAAAAACTTTTCTTTTTGTATGTGTTTAGTCAGAGACTGAAGGATCAATCTTTCCTCCACTGCAGTTTCCCTCTGCTATATTTGTGTAGACAGCGGTTCTGCCTCTCTCTATATATCCGTGTCTGTGCGCCTCCAAATGTCCCAGGAGCCCCACAGAGGCGTCTATTTTTATGGCTGTGCCAATGAGGACGCAGGCGGCGCTCAGACTGACCGAATATCCGCATCTCACCACAGCATCGCCAGAAGCAGAACCAGGCTGGGTGAACACCTGCTTCACTTTCTGACCACATCTGACACTGGGTATTATTCTGAGTCACTCGCAGCACATGTAGACAAATGCAAAAAAAAAAAAAAAAACATCTTAAAGAATGGATAAATCAAGAAAAATAAATAATTGTAATTAAATATATTATGAATAATAAGATTTAACAATTAAAAGTGACAAAAAAAAAAAAAAAAAATATATATATATATATATATATATAGTTTTAATTGTATTATTATTTTATTATTGCTATTACTACAATTGCTAATATTAATTATATTGTTCTTTTATATTGTATTTATCATTATTATTATGTAACACTATCATCATCTTCATTGTTTTATATATACATATACAATTGTATTAAAAATTTTAATAACATAAAATTATTTAATTTGAAACTATTATTATTATTATTATTATTGCTTATTATCAGCATTTATAATACGATTGTAACCACTACAACAACTAATATTCATTCATGTTCTTGTCGGCTTAGTCCTTTAATTAATCGGGGGTCGCCACAGCGGAATGAACTTATCCAGCATGTTTTTATGCAGCAGATGCCCTTCCAGCTGCAACCCATCTCTGGAAAAACTACTAATATTGGTAATAATATTAATAATAATAATAATAATAATATATTATTAATATAAATAGAAACGACTAAAAACTCAACTATTTAGTCTCCACTTCACTTCCTAATCTGTAATTGCCTCTCTGAATATCACACTAACTGTACCCAAAAAGAAAGAAAGAAAAAAATACTTATACTACTAATACTTCCCTTCTTAGACTTTACAGACCTGAAACTTGCCTATAGCACTTATTCATTGTTGCTCTTAGTTGTGTAAATTGCTTCCTTGTCCTCATTTGTAGGTCGCTTTGGATAAAAGCGTCTGCTAAATGACTAAATGTAAATGTAAATAAATAAAAGTAATAATAAAATACTAAATAATAATAATAATAATAATAATAATATCAGCAACAACAACAATAAATAAATAAATAAAAAAATTAATAAATTAATTAATAAATAAACTGACTGCAAGTCAGAATGAAGTTATAAAAAATGTATAATTGTGTGCACAGAACATTAAATGATTTTGGCCATTTTCTGGGTTATAAAACTGACATACTACTACAATTACTATGATTAATAAATCAAATTATAATAATTTTTAAATATTATCATCTTATCTTTGTTTCATATGTACATATAGTAAAAAAAAAAACTACATTTAAAAAAGTAAAAAAATAAAATTAATTAATAAACATGAAATCAGCCAATTATCAGCAATAATATAAAAATGATAATAG